TTTCCGGGACTTCTTGGAACCGAGTTATAAGTTTGGTAGCAAACTCCGCCCACTTTTTGCGCGCTACGCCCACCATTAACACTTGGCCTCACTCCTTTTCTGACCTCTATCCACCTTTTTCCCACTCTCTAATACTTCTCGGAACACAATTATGATGTTTCGTGGATAACTCCGCCCACTTTTGTGCATGCCCGCCCACCAACAGCACTTGACCTCATTTCCTTCCCTAACCTCGATCCACTTTTTTCCCGTCTCCGGGACTTCTTGGAAGCGGGTTATAAGTTTGAAAGCAAACTCCGCCCACTTTTGTGCGCAATGCACCCACCATTAACACTTAATCTCCCTCCCTCCCTCTCTCCCCTTTGACCTTTATACACGTTTTTTCAGGTCTCTAAGTCATCTCGGAGCCGAATTATGAGGTCTTGTAAATGGCGTTATGAGTCACGAATTTCTGAGGCAGACCCCGCCCACTTTGGTGCATGGTTAGCCCAACAATGGCATTCAACCCTACTCCATACCTCAATACTTATGCACATTTTCCCCGGTCGCCGGAACTTCTAGGAACCGAGTTATGAGAGTGGTGGCAAACTCCGCCCACTTCGGGGTGTGCCACGCCCAGCGTTCACATTCAACCTCTACTCCTACTTTCACCTCTACACACGTTTTTTTTCAGGTCTCTAAGTCGTCATCTCGGAGCCGAATTATGAGGTCTTGTAGGGAGACGAAATCGAGCAATGTATCTTCGTGGCAAACCGCACCCGCTTTAACACATGCCCCGCCCGCCGACAGCAGTTGAGTTTCCTCCTCTCCGTCAACCCTTTTCCACCTTTTTTTTATCATTCCTCGGAACTCCCGTAACGGTCACAAATCTTGTTGGAAACTCCGCCCACTTTGGCGTACGTCACGCCCAGCATTTACATATAGCTTCTTCTCCTCTTTTAACCTCTTTCCATTATTTCCAAGGTCTACTAAGTCATCGGAAGCGATTATAGGAATCGCCATGTCGGTCAGTACAAAAGGGCACCACGCCTCCGCGAAACCCGACCACTCATGCCTCCAGCGCCCCGCTACGCCCACCTCCTCAACCAGATCCGCACCCCCCTAGTCCCCCTCCAGCGAGCGTTACTAGGTCTATCACGACCACACTCCCAGGCCGCTACACCCCAGACCCCATCCTCAGTCATGCATCCAGATCACATACAGCGGTGCTGGCCCCGGGATCCAAGTCAGCACTTTGTAGGAAAAGTGTTTCTAATAGGGCACGTTTCATAGTTCGCTATCTCGTCATCTATCTAGTTGGAAATACCTAGTTACTGACTTCGAACCCTTATTCTTTTTTAATGTCTGAGGCTTTTTCTAACGAGTTAGAATTTATTTTCACTGAGCACCGCTTTTTTAGAGAACGCCCCGCCCACCGAGGGTGGGTTCCTAGTTCAATCTGGCTTACCAACGCACACCTATACCCACTTTTGTCCCCAGTCTCGAGGCTGTTTTGTGACTGAATTTGAAATCATGGTCCTCAGTACCACTCATTTCGACGCACGCCACGCCCACTGTGGGCGGGGCTCCGCTTAGGTGATGTATGTTTTTTACTTCTCGAGATATGGTACACCCATCCCAAACTTGACCTGGACCCAGTAGGTTGTTGTTCGCTTAATACCGGAATTTCGACAGACAGACAGACAGACAGACAGACTTAGCGCATTATATATAGTAGGGATAATAATTTTGGACGTGGTTGTTCCAGTAAAAACTCGGGTAGCCACCATTCCCACAAAAAATGGCCGTGGCGTACCACCCGTCGTCTGGCGGAGGTCTCGAAATGAACCCGAGATATCTGTCAGAGTAGCATCATTGAATTAGGTCAACCTCATCCGTCCAAGTCCACCCAAAATTTTTACATTACTGCTGTCGAGCGGTCGAGGCGGAGAGTACGTGCAGCTTCTAAAAAGGCGAATTTTCCCAATTTACGTCAGTAGTTCATGTTCCTGCTTCCATTTCCCATCTATTAGGCGTTTCAGAAAGTTCTGTCGTTTTTCGACCCCGAATTTCAAATGCATGTATCTCGGCTTAAACCAAACCTTTCCGGTTGAAATAAAAACCGTTTGAATGCGCTAACCTTCCGCTATAAGAGACGTTTTAGTGGTTACCTTTGTTCAGAATGCTGGAGCCCTGGAGGCGGTGAACTGAGGGAAGGTCGTTTTAGCATCGGGTTGTGTTTTGAAGCATTTCTCTTCAAGGGAACTATCGAGGCCCCAAAAAAGTGACAGTTGATAGCCAGAGGTATACTGAGTAGGATATCTGCAGCACCCCTTCTTAGCCTAGCTGGACCAACTTGTGCAGGGTTGGTTGTGCGATATGCGTGTAGGACAACTGTCAGAGATGTGTCCGTCCCTTTATAATGAGAAATGCTGAACCCGTATTTTGAAGATTTTGGTGAATTTTGACATAATGTTGGGAGTTCTCCTCCTCTGTAACAGTTCCACCTCATGCGGGCAACTTG